AAGAGGAATATGCGAGAGCGCAGACAAGCAGATTTGCGCTCTTGTATATTGCTGTGATAGTTTTAGAAAATGTTCAAAGAGGAAAAATGAATAGCGCGAATAAAGGCGCTGCTCTCTTAGAAGAGCACCGATAGAACACAAGGGATGTAATGCTTTCTGCTGAAAAGCTGACTTGAATTAATAATAAATTAGTCAATTCCATTCCCAAAACAGTATTTTTGGTGAAATTTCAATAGATAAAATCTTCGTCCCAATCGTATGAATTTTCTCGCCTCAACTCGATCAAACTGTAGTCAGTTTTGGTTGTTGCCCACTTTATCGCCAAATACACACCTTCTCCAACATAAATCGTAACTTTTCGTGCTCCAGCCAATTTTGCACGTTCATTGTTCAAAGCCGCAAGATCAAGTCCATCGTTTTTGCTATTCAGTATTAGAGAACCATACTCGACCTTAATTTTCCTCAATTTTGGTGAGTGACGAATGAACGACATAATTGCTGCAGATGTTGGTTCACTGAGATAAACACGTTCGAGATTCACCAGATTACGAGCAGTGGTTTCCATGTGTGAATTAACAGTTATATCATCAATGCTCAGTTCTTTGATGTTGATCAAAAGTGGTGAAATATTTGCACAATCACCAGCACTCCAAGACGTAATCGCCAATTTTTCCATCGCATTCAATGAAGCCAGTTGATCAGAGATGCTTTTATTATAGCAATGCAATCGCTTAAAGACACCACGTTCATGAAGAGCATTTAAGCTGTCACAAATTCCCATCACATTATCCGCATTATCAAAACGAATCGCTAACGTATCCAATTTAATGTTTGCCGTTCTGAACAAGTCCCAGTTTGCCACAAGAAATACAGAGTTGGTGATAAGGCTGCGGATGTTCGGGTTTTGTTCAAAAAATGTTTTGAGTTCATCGATTTTTTGTGCGAAATTATGGATTACTTCCAACCGTTCTAGTGTCGGATACTTCCGAGCCAACCATCCATTGTCAACACCAATCAAAATTTGATTTCCATTCGGATTACGGATGAAACGACCATATCGATTGTAAATACAAAGAACCTTCAAATTTGGACAAAATGTAAGAAAATCCTCATGGAAATCGCCGTTGATTATGCAATTATCCATTTTCACACATTCAACAGTGCGTAGGACCTTCTTGAGACAATTGACTTCCGCCAGAGATAATGTGGTACGTCCCAAGGAAATTTGCTTTATCGGCCGATTAAAATATGATTTGACGTGGCGGTATGAATCCAAGCTCGTTCCCCAAATTCGCAGCTTTTGCGTGTTTTTGAGATCAAAGACATCAAGTCCAGAGATATGATGTGATGAATTAACCTCACATTCCATTGCTGAGTGTTTCATTTGATAGAAATGGGCCGCAACTCGTTGTGCCCATTTGCACGCTTGGCCGAATGAGTTTAGACTTTTACGTGGCAGCCAATCGAAAATAGCAAAGCAGCAATCATCGTTGAGATTGAAAATAGGTGGTGTTGGTTTTACGGCGGCAGCATCGGTGACAACAGCAACAGCACCAGCATTTTGTTGATCTTCCACTTGTGTTGCCTTGTCTGATGATGCATTCAGGCGAGATATCTTTCGTGTAGACATTTTGATGTTTGCTTGCGACAGCTTGGTTGGAACTGGTTAATGTTTGTATTTCAAAACGTAATTTGAGTATGACTTCAGTTGAAAGTTCATGGAAAAGAAGAAAAAATAAAATTATCGAAATTTTTCAAATACAGACTACGAGTAAAATGACAGATTATTTTTGATTTCTAGAATATTTTCAACCAAACCTGTTCCTTACCTTCAATCGATGCAATATCAGCGATACGACAATACCAAATGTAACCTGTAATTTCGTGCTAATGTGCAAACCAAGACTTTTTTGTACAATAAACTCTCGAAATTATGCGTGGACTATGGATTGAACAATGAACACGCTAATCACGATCCGAATCAATTTTCGAACGATAAATACCAGATTTGTGAAGACGCCTAATGCCAAATAGAATATAATCAAGCCGTTTGCTTTGATTTTTCGATTCAATAAACACATTAGAGTGTGATACAAGTGCAAATGTTGCTGCGAAATATGCTGAGGTATGACATTTGAGATTTAGTATGGCGTTAAATTGAGGTTAGTTGTCAATGAACTGAAGTTGGTTGCAAATCTACGAAAAAAGAACTTGGGAGTACAGAGGACTTTGTATTTTTCATATTTTACCAACGGAATATTCGTTATTTATTCAGACTTCAAAGAATGATGTTTTTGTACGGGCAGTGAAACCATATGAAATACGGACATAGATGATAAATTAGAGATTTTCATACGGTACCTAATAAATTAGTAATAGACGAACTCTTCGTCCCAATCGTATGAATGTTCTCGCTTCAACTCGATCAACCCATAGTCAGTTTTGTTCGTTGCCCACTTTGTTGCCAGGTAAACGTATTCTGAAACATAAATTGTGACTTTTCGTGCTCCAGCCAGCTTTTCACGTATCTTGTCCCATGCGGCGAGGCCAAGTCCATCTTTAGTGCTGTTCGGCATTCGAAAGCTATAGGCAACTTTGATTCTCTTCAGCTTTGCACAATGACGAAGGAAAGACATTATTGCTTCGGATGTTGGTGCACCGAGATAAACACGTTCGAGGTTTACCAGATTACGAGCTGTTGTTTCCATGTTCGATCCATTAAGAGTGTATCTGATGCTCAATTCTTTGATGTTGACCAAAAGTGGTGCAATATTAGTACATCCTCTACCACTCCAAAAATTAACCATAAACTTTTCCAGTGCATTAAGTGAAGCCACTTGGGCCACCTGATCAGTTACCCCATTGGTACACCAGTGCAGTCGTTGAAAGACACCACGTTCATGAAGAGTGTTCAAGTTGTCACACAGTTCTGTCAAACTATCCTCTTGTCCATCAAACCGAATCGCCAACACATCCAATTTTACGTCTGTTTTTTTGAACAATTCCAAATTCCCCAAAAGGATAGTCGAGTAAGTGCCGAACTTGCGGACATTTGGATTTTTTTCGAAAAACGTCTTCAGCGCAACGACTTTGCGTGCGAATTTATGGGTCACTTCCAAACATTCAAGCGTTGGGTATTTTCGAGTCAACCATCCATTATCTGCACCAATCAAAATGTGATCTCCGTTTGGATTGTGATAGTAGCTAGTTCGAACACTAAGCGTCTTCAAGTTTGTACAAAATTTGAGAAAATTTTCGTAGAAATCGCCGTTGATTTTAAAATTATCCATATTCACTCGTTCAACGGTGCGTAACACATTTTTAAGGCAATTGATCTTCGCGACCGAAAGTGTGATTTGTCCCAAGTAAATTTGCTTGATCGGTTGAGTACAGTATGATTAAATGTGGCGATATGGTTCCAAGTCTTTACCTTCAATGTGTATTTTCTGTGCGTTTTCAAGATCGAAGACATTGGATTCGTTTAGAGGGAGAGATGGAACTGTGCATGTGCATACAATCGCCGAATGGTTCATTTTGTAAAAGTTGGCAGCAACTCGTCGTGCCCATTTGCACGTTCGACCAAATGATTGTAGGTCTGTCAATGAAAGACAATCCAAAATTGCATAGCAGCAATCGTTGATGAGATTGAAAATGGGTGGTGTTGGTTCTTCGACGGCAGTGTCGGTGACAATAACTACAGCATTTTGTTGGTTGTCCACTTTTCTTGCCTTGGCTGGTGGCCCATTCAGGCGAGGTGACTTTTGTGTTACAATCTTTACGTATGTGCGCTTCATCCCAGTTTAAATTGATTGATGTTCAGCTTTCCGGACGTAATTGGGAATTGATATTTCAATCAATCTAGAGGAATCTTCAATAAAAAGAAAAAAAGAAAGAAATATATTTATTTTAGGAAAAAATTACCACTCTTTCATCACCAATTTTCTTTTTGGCTTCTGTGATCACGGATTTTGTGAAGAATTTGCAAATTGAATTCGATTGATTACTATTTCTTTTTGTTATTCGATAAGATTTCGGTCTTACTTGTCGATTCAATGTAAATCAGCAATGAACGTGTATTTATTGTGATGCTGTCGATAATGCGCAATGGCAACTAGACTATCGTTTGTTAGAAACACACTTCAAACTAGACTTTATTCGTGGATTGAATAATTATTATTGGAACCCAATGCAATATTTCGACCGTATATGCGAAATCCTTCAAGGAAATAATCAATAGACTACATAAAATTTAGAGGATTACTCTGATTTCAATGTTCAATCAATGACATTTAATGTGTGATGCGCATCAAATTGAGGTTAGCTGTCAATGAACTGAAGTTGGTTGTAAAGTAAAAATTTGAAAGGGAATAATTTTTGAACGTTTTTAATTTTATTTACTCGCTATATTTGAACTTGATTGTGAAACATTTTATTTTGGATAGTTGACATAAATGATGAATGAGTCTTTTACAAAGCGACGATTAAGTATTTAGTAAATTAATAATCGAAGTCGAAGTACAATAAGTCTTCGTCCCAATCGTACGAATTTCCTCGCTTCAATTCGATCAAACTGTAGTCAGTTTTGTCCGTTGCCCACTTTGTTGCCAAATAAACGTCTTCTTCAACATACATTGTGACTTTTCGAGCTTCAGTCAATTTTTCACGTAGTTTGTTCCATGCGGCGAGATCAAGGCCATCTTCAGTGTTGTTTGACATTCGAAAGCTATAAGCGACTTTGATTATTTTCAGCTTTGCAGAATGACGAATGAACGACACGATTGCTTCGGATGTTGGTGCACCGAGATAAACACGTTCGAGATTCACCAGATTACGAGCTGTTGTTTCCATAGTTGATCCATCGACGTTGAATCTGATGCTCAACTCTGTGATGTTGTCCAAAAAAGGTGAAATGTTTTCACAATCATCAGCACACCAAAAAACAACTGCCAATTTTCCCAGCGCATTCAATGAAACCACTTTATCCGATACCCGCTTGGTATACAAATGCAATCGCTGAAAGACTCCAAATTCATGAAGAAAGTTCAAGTTGTCACGTAGTTCTGTCAAACTATCCTTATTTCCATCAAACCGAATTTCCAACACATCCAATTTTACGTCTGTCGTTTTGAACAGGTCCAAATTCTTTCCAAGAGATACAGAATCGATGGCGAAGCTGCGAACGTTCGGATTTTGTGCAAAGAATGTTTTCAGTTCATCGACTTTTCGTGTGAATGTTTGAATTACTTCCAACCGTTGGAGTGTCGGGTACTTTCGTGTCAACCATCCATTTGGATGTCTGGTGGAACGACCAAGTTGACAACCGTAAATACACAGAACCTTCAAACTTGAACAAAATTTGAGAACCTTTTTGTAGAAATTGCCGTTGATTGTGCAATCATCCATTTTTACATATTCAACAGTGTATAAGACCTTCTTGAGACAATTTACTTTCGCGTTGGACAAAGTGGCATTCACCAGATAAATTTCCTTGATCGATTGATTGAAATATGCTTTGATATGGCGATATGGCTCCAATTTTATGCCCCAAACGCGTATTTTCTGTGCGCTTTCGATATCGACGGTCTCTGGTACAGAGTCTCCCCAAACTTCATAGTACTTTGCCGAATGTTTCATCTTGCAGACGTCGACAGCAACTCGTTGTGCCCATTTGCATGTTTGGCCGAAAGCGCGTAGGTCTTTACGTGGCAGCCAATCGAAAATTGCATAACAGCAATCGTTGATTAGTTTAAAAATGGGTGGTGTTGGTTCTTCGACGGCAGCGTCGGCGGCAACAGCAACTGCATTTGGTTGGTTGTCCACTTTTCTTGCTTTGGCTGGTGGTTCATTCAGGTGAGGCGAGTTTTGTGTAGCCATTGTGATGATAGCTTGGTTGGAACTGGTTGATGTTTGATTTTTGGAATGTAATTTGAGGATGAATTCAGTCGAAAGTTCAAGGAAAGGAAGAAAAGTAGAATTATTGGAATTTTTCAAATACAAACGTTCACAAGGTAAATGACAGATTATTTTTGACTTTAAGAATTTTTCAACACAACTTGTTCCTTACCTTCAATAGATGCAATGTCAGCAATTCGATATGACAATACAATACGAAATGTTATCTGTAACTTCGTGCCAATGTGCAGTGAAAACCAAACTTGGATTGTACAATAAACTCTTAAAATTATGCGTAGACTTTGGATTGAACACGTTAATCACGATCCGAATCGATTTTTTGACGAGAAATACCAGATTTGTGAAACAATTAATGCGAAATTAAATATAATTCAAAATTTTGCTTTGATTTTTCGATTCAATAAACTCATAAGAGTGTGGTACGAGTGCAAATGTTGTTGCGAAATAAGCTGAAGCATGACATTTCAGATTTGATATTGCGTTAAATTGAGGTTAGTTGTCAATGAACTGAAGTTGGTTATAAGTTCGAAATAATTGTTTGAAATTTTCGAATAGAATCTGTTCTTACATTTGACGACAAATATTTGAACGCCTTTTCTTTGCCACAACATTGTACATTTATTTCGAAGAACGAAAATACTTGTACACTTTAGGTCAAGGATAATGGATAATAATTAATTTTGTAACGAAATAAAAAGAATTACATTGGTAATCCCGAACTTTTCCGTACCGTTGGCCTGCATTGTCCGTAGGTCCCAAGAGAAACGGCCAATATGTTTATACGCTGTCTATCCGCCGAAAATACACTACAATATATACACGCTTATTGGACGCCGAATTGAATATATATTCTAGTGTATATTCGGTGTATTCTTCAGCGTGAAACATATTGAATAAACGAATGCATTCATGGCCACCAGAGGGCGCCTGAATATGTTTCAATATGTTTCACGCCGAAGAATACGCCAAATATACACTAGAATATATATTCGATTCGGCGTTCAATAAGCGTGTATATATTGTAGTGTATTTTCGGCGGATAGACAGCGTATAAACATATTGGCCGTTTCTCTTGGGGTACGTTTGATTATTTTTTGTGAATTTTCTTGAAATTAAGGCAGTAAAAATATAATAATAAAAATAAAGTGAAAAATCGGTCACTTTAACTAAAACTTCGACAATTTTGTATGAGAGGTACCCGTAAACCGATTCTTATTGGCTTTAAACTTTCTGAGGTTTCATTTTTTGGAGAAAAAATAAGATTCTGAAAGTTTCATGTTGATTGCATTTGCAGAAGTTTGGTTTTTGGCCCTCAAATTTTTCCAAGAAAATGTCGGCCGAAATTGAGGACAAAAAATCAAACTTCTGCAAATGCGATCAACATGAAACTTTCGGAATCTTATTTTTTCTCCAAAAAATGAAACCTCAGAAAGTTTGAAGCCAATCAGAATCGATTAACGGGTACCTCCCATACAAAATTGTCCAAAAATCGGTAATTTTAGTCAAAATTTCAAAAAAGTTGTATGGGAGGTACCCGTAAATCGATTCCGATTGGTTTCAAACTTTCAGAATCTTATGTTTTTCCCAAAAAATGAAATCTCAGAAAGTTTGGAGCCAATCAGAGTCGATTTACGGGTACCTCCCATACAAAAGTGTCAATTTTTTGAGGTTTTTCTTAGGGCAAGTACCCCTGGATCAAATCGAAAATGGCTCATCTTCGAACTTAAACTAAGTTTTTTGGATACAAAACTTTTGGCATTTCCAGATTTTGATTATCTCAATTATTTTTTGAGTTATCGTGTTTACAAACAGCTACGACAACGACGACAACGACGACAACGACGACGGCACACGAACGGAAAAGTGTCTCAAAAAGTGGTTTTCTACGCGTTTCATGAGTTTTTATGATGATCTAAGCTAATTTTGCGAAAAAAGTTTTCGGGACCAATTCCTTCACTTTCCCTTGACACGTTGTGTACGGAAAAGTAAGACATCCATATTTTGCTTGAACCAGAAAACAGTGAGATAGAAAAATGGAATGAAAAACACCACATACAAGTATTTTAACATTTCATTTATTTCTTATTCATGACGAATTTTTATTCAACGGATAAGATGCATCAACAAAAATTGCCATTCGAAATATCGAAATACGCGAAATTATTTTCATCCATCAGCGAAATACGTCAATTTATTTTTAATAGATGAAATCATCGTCCCAATCGTATGAATTTCCTCGCTTCAACTCAATCAAATCGTAGTCCGTTTCGTTCGTTGCCCACTTTGTTGCCAAGTAAATATCTTCGTCAACATAAATTGTCACTTTCCGTGCTCCAGCCAGCTTTTCACGCTCCTTATTCCATGCCGCGAGATCAAGTGCTCCTTTGGTCCAATTCCATATTTGGAAACCATGACCGACCTTTAATTTCATCAATTTTGCTGAGTGACGAATGAACGATGCAATTGATATAAATGTTGGATCACCGAGATAAACATGTTTTAGGTTTACCAGATTACGAGCTGCTGTTTCCATGTTTGATCCATTGTATCTGATGCTCAGTTCTGTGATGTTGATTAAAAGTGGTGAAAGGTTAGTACATTCTCTAGCACTCCAAAAATTAACCATCAATTTTTTCAGCGCATTCAATGGAATCACTTGGGCCACTTGACTGGGTAAACTTTTGGTATACCAGTGCAATCGCTGAAAGGCACCTCGTTCATGAAGGGATTTCAAAGTCTCACAAATTTCCAAGAAATGATTCCCATCAAAGCGAATCGCCAACTTATCCAATCTGATGTCTGTCGTTCGAAACAAGTCCAGATTCGCTGTGAGAAATGCAGAATTAGTGGCGAAGCTGCGAACATTCGGATTTTGCTTGAAAAATGTCATCAGCTCATCGATTTTAAGCGCGTCTTTACAAATCAATCGCAAATGCTCGAGTGTTGGATATTTTCGAGTCAACCAACCATTATCGACACCAATCAAAATGTGATCGGTATTTGAGTTGCCATGGTTTTTTAATTTAGTGCGAACACAAAGCACTTCATGTTTGCACAGAATTTGAGAAAATTTTCATGAAGGTCACCGTTGATTTCGCTCTCTTGTATTTTCACACGTTCAACAGTACGTAACACCTTTTTGAGACAATTAACTTTCGCTGTAGATAATGTGGTAACTTCCAATTGAATTTCTTTGATCGGTTGATTGCAATGTTCTTCAATTGCTCGATATGGCTGGAAGTATCGTTCGTGAATGTGCAACTTTTGGAGGTTTTTCAGGTAAAAGTTATCGGGACTGGTGTACATCTTGATCTCTGAATGGTTCATTTTGAAGAAATTGGCAGCAACTTTTTGCGCCCATTTGCACGTTTGGCTAAACGATCGTAGGTCTTTCAAAGACAAACAATCCAAAATTGCATAGCAGCAATCGTTGACAAGGTTGAAAATGGGTGATGTTGGTTCTTCGATGGCAACAGAAACTACATTTGGTTGAACGTCCACTTTTCTTGCCTAAGCTGGTGGTTCATTCAGTGGTTGGCTAGGTGAATTTTGTGTGGTCATTTTGACGTTTGCTTGTGTCAGCTTAGTTGAAACTGATTGATGTTTGAATTGCGAAACGTAATTCGAGGATGAATTCAGGAAAAATAAGAAAAAATCATTGAAATTTTGAGAGTTGAATGAATGGTTTGAAGCATTTTTTGCTCCAAATCATTCGAATGATAGATGATTGTGACCTTTTTATTTCTCAATTCTTACCTTCAATCGATGGAATGTCAGGAATATGACAATACCTTATGTTTGCTCGGACTAGCTAAACTCCGGTTATCAAAATGTTATTCAAAGGTGAATTCCGACTGAAGGTGATAACAAACAAATTACCAATTGAATTTTTGCTATAGGAAAAACTTAGAATTGTAATGTACGCATTGGATTTACCTTACATTAAATATGCCGTCAGCAGAAAGAGAGTACGACTCTAAGCGATTAGAATGCTATTGCGCAGTAAAATGTGATGACGTTTGATAAACCGTGAGCTCATTTTTACGAAATGAAGTTGACAGCAGTTCGAAACGGTGGAACTATTCGGATTTCGAATCGCGTTCATTCGAAAATTGTACCACATTTGAAAAATGTATTCCCCGGCATGTAAATTGCTATTTGAATGTATTTCATCAAGTTGAATGTAGAATCTTAAAACAGATTTCGTTATAAATAGAAATTAAATACCAATTGAGATGACGATAGCAATATATATATAGATATCAGGCTCATAGTGGAAAACAAGCGTTTTACACAATTTTCATAAGTAATTTGGAATTTCAACATAATCGAATTTATGGCCACGATAGAGAGTTCATTCTGAAGGCTAGGGGAATCACTCACTTTCCAAATGGTGTGAATCTTATGAATATTTCTCAATCTTTTGCTCTTTGAAATTCAAGATTGCGACAGAACTGTCAAATTAGGATGCATTTGATTCATTCAGATTCACAACATTTGTCCGTATTTATCACGATTGATTTACAGTTTAATGGTGAATCTGTGTAAATCTTTTGGTTTTAAATGTATATATAAGAGTTTGTTTGAATTTCAGAAAAAGGCATGAAACATACAAGCTGCATTGAATGATAAATTCCCCTAGTCTGAAGGACTCTACTCTACGTAGTTGGAATACACACACTTTTCATGAAGTTTGATTTTTGTTACATTTTCACTATGTTAATCCCATTGATTTTTCAGTACATATTCAGATATAATTTTCAAACAATGAACATTTCAAGCTACAACTGTCGACAGATTTCATGAAGTATCTTTTTCGTTTTTGAATATTAAATAATGTATTTGAATCACAATAGAATTATTTACCATTTAATCAGATCCATTGGAGCAAAACAGATTCTCTTACAGTATTGTTTTGTCCCGAATAAATTTCAATTAGAATGAAGAAATGAACGTGGTTGTACAATGTACATCTTTGAGAATGGATTTGTTAGATTTCAAAAAAGAAAACACTAAAAGTGAGTCTATCATAAAGTCCATTTGAATGCGATCTGCTGAAAAAAATTTCAAACTAAATTTATAAAGGCATGAACAGTTTTTTTGAAAAAACTGTTTTTTCAATAAACAGGGAATAGAAAAACACTCCAAACAATTCCAAAGAACGTCCTATTTATTTTATTAATTCAATGATTGAGAACACATTTATTTGAAATGTTGCGCATTGCATATAGTTAAGTGTCAAGCTAAGGTATTTCAAAGAACTCATAATGTATAAGCGGTAATTAAACATTTTGAATAGTTATGTGAGTTTTGGATATTGACGTAAATGAAAAAATTGAACGTTTTTTCCTAAACGAATGATCTAAATTGGAAGTTCTCGCTTTTTGTATCAAAATGTACGTTTAAAGTACCGCGATTCGTGAAATAATTGTTGTCAATGGAACAAGTTCTAGATTATTTAAATAATAAGTTGAAATCGTTGTCCCAATCGTATGAGTTTCCTCGCTTCAATTCGATCAAACTGTAGTCCGTTTTGTCCGTTGCCCACTTTGTTGCCAAATAAATGTCTTCTGGAACATAAATTGTGACTTTTCGTGCTCCAGCCAGCTTTTCACGCTCCTTATTCCATGCCGAGAGGTCAAGAACAGATTCAGTGAAATTCCACACACATTTCACTTTGATTTTCTCCAATTTGGCTGAGTGACGAATGAGCGACACAATTGCTTCGGAAATTGGTACACCGAGATAAACACGTTCGAGGTTCACCAGATTACGAGCTGTAGCTTCCATAGTTGACCCTCCAATATGGTAACGGATGCTCAATTCTTTAATGTTGACCGAAAGTGGTGAAATGGTAGCACAATCTTTAGCACGCCAATAACCAACTGACAATTTTTCTAACCCATTCAATGACGCGACATGATCAGAAGATACCCCATTGTTATACCAGTGCAATCGTTGAAAAACACCACGTTCATGAAGGGAGTTCAAGTTGTCACGAAATGCGGTCACACTAGCCGAATCAAACCAAATCGTCAACGTATTCAATTTGATGTTTGTCGTTCTGAACAAGTCGAAATTCTCTTCAAGGAATGTAGAGTAGGTGGCAAAGCTGCAAACGTTTGGATTTTGTTCGAAAAATATCTTCAGCTCATCGACTCTTCGAGCGATACCAAAGTGAGTTACTTCCAAATGTTCGATTGTTGGATATTTTCTGGTCAACCATCCATTGTCAACACCAATCAAAATGTGATCTCCATTCGGATTACGGTGATAGCCAGAACCAACACAAAGCACCTTGATGTTGGTACAAAATTTGAGGAAATTTTCGTAGAAATCGCCGTTGATTGTGCATCTTTCCAATTTCACACATTCGACGGTGCGTAGAAGCTTTTTGAGACAATTGACTTTCGCGACTGATAATGTGGTATCATCCAAATAGATCTGCTTCATCGGTTCATTGCAGTATGATTTGACGTTACGAAATGGATCCAAGTTTTTGCCCAAAATGCGGATTTTATGAGTGTTTTCGAGATCAAAGACATCAGGACCACGAATAATGCCAAATAAATTGACCACACAATCCGCTGCTGAGTGGTTCATTTGGTAGAAGTTGGCAGCAACTTGTTGTGCCCATTTGCACGTCTGGCCAAATGAGCGTAGATCTGTCAGTGACAAGCAATCCAAAATAGCATAGCAGCAATCGTTGATGAGATTGAAAATGGGTGGTGTTGGCTCTTCGACGGCAGCGTCGGCGGCAACGGCAACAGTGTCTTGTTGATCGTCCACTTTTCTTGCCTTGGCCGGTGGTCCATTGAGGCGATGTGACTCTTGTGTAGCCATTTTGACGTTTGTTAGGTGTGGTTATATTGTGATTTTCCAAATGCAAGTCAAAGTTGATAATCGTCTGTGAAAAATAATGAAAACTGTATCAATCGATAGTTTTTGTAGAAAAAAACAAAAAATTATGTTTCCATTGGATTTATCGTTTATTAAGTAGAACGAGAAACAAAGCAATGAGAATGCTATTGCGCAGAAAAATATGATGAATGATGACGTTTGATGTACCGAGAGTTCTATTTTACGAACTGAAGTTGGCAGCACTTTGAAATGTTGAAATTTTTTGTATTTCGAATCGTGTTCATTCGAAAAATACACTTAGTTAAAAAAAAATGTATTTCCCGGCATATAAACTGCTATTTAAATGTATTCCATGAAGTGTGAATGAAGAATCTCAAAGCCAAAATAAATGGTTGTTAAAAATAATTAATTATCTATAGGTGAATTTGTCAAGGAAGTCAATGATATCTGAACATCTGTTGAAAAAAAGAGTTTTTCACAATTTCCATAAGTAATTTGGAATTGGCACAGGATCAAATTTATGGCCACGATGGAGAATTCATTCTGCGCACAGTCTTTATGAAGTTTGAATTTGTTTTATTTTTTACTTCCGTGTTAATCCCATTGATTTTTCAGCACATGTTCAAATATATAATTTCCAAACAATGATTATTTCAAGCTACAAATGTCGACAGAGTTTGATAAAATCTCTTTTTGATTTTTTACTTATTATTAATGTGTTTGAATCACAATAAAATAATTCACCATTTAATCAGATCCAGAAAAAGATTCTCTTACAGTATTATTTAGTTTGGAATAAATTCTAATTGGAATGTAGAACGTGAAGCTGTTGTACATATTTAAGAATTGATTTGCTTGCAGAAAAGAACGTACAAAAATTCTGTACGAATGCGATGTGCAGAACAATTTTCAATCTAAACAGGATGACATCAATAAATAATTAATGAACAAATATTGGAAAAACACCAAAATTCCAAAGAACTTTCCCTTTATTTTGTTTATTCAACGAATATCGCGAACAATTCAATGTCAATTACAGTAGACACTAAACAATTGAGCACATTAATTCGGACTATGGCGTTCAGTTCAGAAATTTTTATAACAGAAAATGTTGAAAATTTTCCCTAAATAAACGATCTAAATTGGAACTTCGGAATGTTTTTTTTTTAAATTGATGTTTTAAATATAGAAATTTGTGAAATTGTGTTTGTCAGTGGAATGTGGAACGCTCATTCACTTATTTTGAAATTTTTAATAAAGGTTGAAATCGCTGCCCCAATCGTATGAGTTTCCTCGCTTTAACTCGATCAAACTGTAGTCTGTTTTGTTCGTTGCCCACTTTGTTGCCAAGTAAACGTGTTCCGGAACATAGATTGTGACTTTTCGTGCTCCGAACAATTTTTCACGCCCCTTGTTCCAAGCCGCGAGATCAAGGCCGTCTATATTGCTATTCGGCATTCCAATGCTATGAGCGACTTTAATTTTCTTCAGCTTTGCAGAATGACGAATGAACGACACGATTGCTTCGCATGTTGGTTCACCGAGATAAACACGTTCGAGATTCACCAGATTACGAGCTGTTGTTTCCATAGTTGTTGATCCATTGAGATAGAATCTGATGATCAATTCTTTGATGTTAACCAAAAGTGATGAAATGGTAGCACATTCACCAAGATTCCAATGACCAACTGACAATTTTTCCAGCGCATTCAATGAAGCTTCGTTAGCAGATACCAATCTGCAATACCAGTGCAATCGTTGAAAGACACCACGTTCATGAAGAGAGTTCAAGTTATCACGAAATGCGGTCACACTAGCCGAATTATCCCAAATCGCCAACAGATCCAATTTAATCTTTGTCGTTCTGAACAAGTCGAAATTCTCTTCAAGGAATGTAGAGTCAGTGGCAAAGCTGCGAACGTTTGGATTTTGTTCGAAAAATATCTTCAGCTCATCGACCCTTCGAGCCAAACCACGAGTTACTTCCAAATGCTCGAGTGTTGGGTATTTTCGGGTCAACCATCCATTGTCAACACCAATCAAAATGTGATCCCCATTCGGATTACGGTGATAGCTAGAACCAACATGAAGCCCCTTGATGTTGATACAAAATTTGAGAAAATTTTCGTAGAAATCGCCGTTGATTCTGCATCTTTCCAATTTCACACATTCGACGGTGCGTAGAAGCTTTTTGAGACAATTAACTTTCGCGACTGATAATATGGTATCACCCAAGCGGATTTGCTTGATCGGTTTATTGCAGTATGACTTGACGTTGCGATATGGATCCAAGTTCATTCCCCAAATGTGTATTTTTTGTGTGTTTTGGAGATCAAAAAGTGCGGGACCAAAAATTTGGCCCAATCCATAGACGCGATAATTCATTGCTGTGTGGTTCATTTGGTGGAAGTTTGTAGCCACTTGTTGTGCCCATTTGCACGTTTGACCAAATGAGCGTAGGTCTTCACGTGACAGCCAATCCAAAATGGCATAGCAGCAATCGTTGATGAGATTGAAAACGGGTGGTGTTGGTTCCTCGACGGCAGCGTCAGTGACAACGACAACGGCAACATCGTCTTGTTGATCGTTCTCTTTTCTTGCCTTGGCTGGTGGCCCATTCAGGCGAGGTGATTTTCGTGTGGCCATTCTGACGTTTGCTTGACTTGTTCAGAACTGATGTGTGAATTTCGAAAAGTAAATTGAGGATATTTCAGTCGAAAGTTCAGGGAAAAGAAGAAAAATAGAATTATTGAAATTTTGCAAATACAAACGAGTTTACGATTCAAATAAAAGATTATTGTGACTCTTTTATTTTTCAACAGAACATGTTTCTTACCTTCAATGGATGCAATGTCAGCGATACAACGATACCTAAAGTCTGCTCGGTCTGGTCAAACTCCGGTTATCAAAACGTAATTGAAAGGCGAATATCGACTGTAGATAATAACGAACAAATTAACAATTGAATTGTTGTTATAGAAAAAACTGATAATTTTAATGTACGCAACAAATATGTCGTCAGGAGAACGAGAGTACGACCAAAGCGATTGGAATGCTATTGCGCAGTAAAATGTGATGACGTTTGATATTTATCGTGAGTTCTTTTTTACGATCTGAAGTTGACAGCATTTCGAAACGTTGGAATTTTTCGGATTTCGAATCGCGTTCATTCGCACCAGATTCAAAAAATGTATACTTTTCAACAGATGTTCGAAACCTCAACACTTGTTCCAACAAAAACTTAAGTCTTACGAAAAAGAGCTGCTAGCAATCATCACAAGAAACCAAAACATAAATAATAAATCGCTAGAATGTCCAATAGAATTCCATTTTGTGTCTTTATTGAAGAAAAAATTCTAAATTCCAATTTATTTAAATGTATTTTATGAAATGTTCAGTAAATTCCCAAAGCAGAAATATCGTGACGAAAATAGAGTGTATTGGAATTCTGTAGAAAACATGAAATGGTTTTAATTTTATTTCTCATCAAAAGCTTGTTTTTATAGAAGAATAGTTTCTTCGTCAAATAAATTCAACATAATTTGGATTCCGAAATTTGGTTTGAGAAAATAAATGAACGTTACATGACAATCACTCTAAAATGGTTTGGTGTAGTAAAAATCGCGTTCCCAGTTGAATGTATTTTGTCGTTTTAATTCGACCAAACTGTAGCTGATGTTTGACCTCGTCCATTTCACTTCCAAAAAATCCTTTTCATGCACATGAACCGTGACTATGGTTGCTCCGGATAATTTTTCGCGTTCTCGATTCCAACTCTTGAAGACTGAACTGAGCTTTTTCGAGGAATCGGTGAAACTACCGGCTTTGATTGTTCTAAGTTTGGCACAATGCCGTATAAATGGTATGATGTTCTCGATAGATACATATCTTATGTTGACTTGTTCAATGTTCACAAGATTTCGTGCCAGCTTTTCTGCATCCAACACATCAGTTTTGGAATTGTATCCTAAATAAATAGCTCTAAGGTTGACGAAAGGAGTTCTCAATGCATCAGCTCTTTCAATCGACTCATTAAGCATTAGCTTCTGAAGTCCTCGCAATGAAATCAAATGCTCTAGCTCTGTTTCACTGTCCAATTGTAAACGTAGCTGCTTATAGAAGCCATTTTCGTGAAGTTTATTCAGAAGATTGTAAAGTGAGTGTTTTTTCTTGTTACAATAGTTTGCGAATATTGTCAATGTGTCCAACTGCATTGCATTGGCTGCCATGAACATCTCCTTATTTGCCCACAGAAAATCCGCTCGAGTCTCAAAGCTTCGAATATTTGGATTCTGTTCGAAAAACACTTTCAATTCGTCAATTTTGACTGCACCCGTCGCCAATCCAAAATGCTCAAGAGTCGGGTACTTGCGTAACAGCCAATCATTCCCATTACCCATCATTCGTCCTGTAATGTCTGACACGCATAAACCTCTTAGATTTTTACAAAACCTAAGGAACTTGTCATGAAATTCGCCGGCGATTGAGCAATTTTGAAGTCGAATGCCTTCAATTTGTTGCAATACACCTTTGAGACACTTGATTTTTAGTGGTGATAGGTATAACCTCAAAGTAATATGCTTGATTGAAGCACCACAGTTTGCTTCAACATTTTGAAATGGTAATATGTAACTTTCTGGAATCATCAATTCTCGAAAGAATCGGCTGAAACTGTTGACATTAGTGGAATGGCGTGTATAAAAACTATTATGTAGCACACCAAAATAATCTACTTGAAACCCATCTTTCCGGTAACTAGAAATTGTAGTTGATGAAAAGTTCGTTTGGAAATATGTGCCGGCCACTTGTTGCGCCCATTTGCATGTTTGACCAAATGAATGTAGATCGTCCAATGGCAGCCAATCAAAAATTGCGAAACAGCAATCGACGATGAGATTGAATATGGGTGGTAGTAGTTCATTGACTGGAGCTGCAAAGACTTCATCCCCATGCTGTTGTTCCTCTTCAGCTACAACAATATTCCTTGCTTTGGCTTCAATTTCGTCATTGAGACTACCTCTACGTTTGCTCATATTAGATTCAGCTATTTGCTTATGCTGTCAAAGTCGGTTCACTGAAGATGTCTGTATAGAAATGGAATAAACATGAAAAGCAGTGACTTTTTTCTTCGGTTGAAAAACATATATTCAAAATACTTCGATTGCAGTTGAAAATTACTAGAGTGAAATAGTTTGTATGTCACAATTACCTTCAATCGATGAAATGTTAGTAATATGAAAATGTCAATGATGGCACGTGAGAAGAGCGCACACTTGAAATCATCTTTAATTGGGGTTTGTACATGTAAATTCAATTCAATCTGATGGCATGAATGTTAATATTTTGGAGACACTTATTATCAAACTGAAAGGAATTAGCGTTTTACTTGGATTTACCTGTTCAACAATTTCTATGAATGTGATACCCGTGCAGAAAATTGACGAAATTGGAGATGACGTTTCGACTTTGATGTGCGCTAAGTTGAGGTTATCTGTCAACAAACTGAAGTTGGTTGTATACTCGAAAAAGTTTCTTGGGGCTTCGAAATAATAGAAAATTTGAACGTTTATTATCAAATATTTATTTTCATTTCATCGGTTTGTTCATGAAAGTATATAATTTTCGTATTCAAGAAGACTACACATATTTTCGGAGAATTCATGAAAATCAGAAATGATTTTTGCTTTTTTCCTCACACATTGGCCTTTTCAGTGTCTGAATTTGTATCATTTAACAAATTAATAGTGATAGACGTACTCTTCGTCCCAATCGTATGAATTTTTGCGTTTCAATTCAATCAAATTGAAGTCAGTTTTGTCCGTGGCCCACTTTTTTGCCAAGTAAATCTCTTCGTTAATGTAAATCGGTATTTTTCGTGCTCCAACCAATTTTGAGTGCTCCTTGTTCCATGTGGCAAGATCAAGGTCTGCTTTAATTATATTCCAGCTACATACAATCTTGATTTTATTCAATTTTGGTGAATAACGAATGAATGATGAAATTTCTTTGAATTTTGGACTTCCAAAGTAAACACGTTCGACATTCACGAGATTACGGGCCGTTGTTTCCATGTTTGGACTGTTTGGTCTGCCAATGGTGTTAAATTCTTTGATGCTGAATTCTTTGATGTTGGTCAAAAGGGGCGAAATGTTAGTACACTCATGAGTATTTCAAGTAATGACTGACAATTTTTCCAGCCCATTCAATGAAACCGCTTGAGTCCCGCGATCAGATGCACTTTTAGTATACCAATGCAATCGTTGTCCCCATCAAACCGAATCGCCAACGTATTCAATTTTATGTCTGTCGTTGTGAACATGTACCAATTCCCGAGAAAAATTGTAGAGCTTCTGTCGAAGCTGCGGACTGTATACTAAAAGCTCTGAATCATAAGCAAGTGTCTGAAGTGAAGTTTTGGTACTCCACGTAAGAGCTTTTTGTAATTTTTATTTTAAATAAACTGCTGTGAACCGTCATAATAAACAAAAATTGGAATGAGATTTTCAAAAAGTTCAATAAATATACGATTTGGTATTTTTCATTTATGAAAATCGTATATGTAATTCAAATGTATTACTTTTCCGCAAACTTTGTTTGTATGGAAAAGTATTGGTTTTACTAGCCAAAATTTCATGACATCTCCTCTTTCGGACCACTATAACGTCACGCCAAACTTCAAAAAGCACATATCTGTACACTAGGCAATGTAGATGGGATGAAATCCTATCGATCAAGACCTATCTGCCTCCAAAAACATGTTGTTTACTATGAAATATGTGCAAAATAGCGATGTGCGTATGGCGTCGTTCGCGTCCGCGTCCGAGCTTTTTGTTCGCCGATTATCTCAAAAAGTTGACAAGATAATTGAGATCTGTAAAAGCCAAAAGTTTTGGCATGTCAAGACAAAGCTTCGGATTGATTTTGAGCTCATTCTGATCTACCAATTTCGTACCATAAGCCTCCGACTGAGGACCTGAAAAACGTTGAAAAATGACACTTTTGTACGGGAAGTACCCGAAAAAAGTATTTTTCAGGGTTTCGATCAAGGCAAACTGCCATTTTTTTGCAAAAATAATGGGAGTCTGTGAACAACCGAACACCTACTTGCCCATAAATTTGGTCCAAAATCGACATTTCTTGAAATTTTCCTCGAAAAATAGACTTTTGTATAAAAAATCACTCAGAAAGCCATTTTTTAGGGTTTTGATCAAGACAAACTGATGTTTTTTTGCAAAAAAAATGGGAGCCTTCAAACAACCGAACACCTTGCCCATAAATTTGGTCCGGAATCAACATTTCTTGAAATTTTGTTTGAAAATGACACTTTTGTATGGAAAATGGTCGAAATAGTTATATTTTAAGGTCAAAAATGCTATGAAAAAAGGGTCCATTGAAATTTTGGTTAAACATTAAGCGGGCGGCAAACTAAATTGCTGCGGAGCGGAAAAGTTTGGATTACGTATGTAATTCGTTTTATTTCATGAGGAAAAATATGTTCGGGGGATACATAAAAATGCATTCTTTGTTGCTTTGTTTTTGGAAATTAATATGTTTCAATGAAGTAATGGGTCTAAGATTACTTCAACACTCTTTTAATGGATATTTTGAAATTTAAACACATTTTACAATGTTCAATAAGGGGAAATGGAAATTTTTCTAATGAAAGTGGAAATTTGCTATTTACAAAACTTGTGAAATGTGGATGCAAATGTTTTACCCTAAAAATTACAATTTCCCAATGATAAGACCTTAAAATAGTCATACTTCTACATGAAAATGTATTTTTCCAACAAAAAAAAAAGCCTTACAAAATTAGTGATATCAGATGAAAAACCTCTAGACGGGGTTAAAATGGACTGACGCTCCGTACGTGGATTTACCACTCAAAAAGACTGATATCATTTTGAGTGACGCTTTGACGCTGTATTACCTCTGGATACGAAGTTCAGAAGTGTTTTTCGCATTCACTATTGTAAAAATTTATTTACAATAAGGAAAAATATCGCGTCACGTCTTTTACACGGCAAAATGCTTAAAAGCTTTGAAACAAAATTCAAAAGTCGTGACGCGATATTTTTCCTTATTGTAAATAAATTTTTACAATAGTGAATGCGAAAAACACTTCTGAACTTCGTATCCAAAGGTAATACAGCGTCAAAGCGTCACTCAATAAGATATCAGTCTTTTTGAGTGGTAAATCCACGTACGGAGCGTCACTCCATTTTAACCTCGTCTAGAGGTTTTTCATCTGATTGGATTTACAGCTCATTTCCATTAATATAAACGATCTAAATTTGGTCGAAATGATGGAAACTTTTCCATCACTTCAACGATTTGGCATTTCAAGTAAAGCTTTAAACACTGAAACTGTCATGCAAATTGAACAAGATGCTAAACAAATTGGAGTTTCTCTTGAAATTATTCATGATAACAACACAAATATCACGTCATTGGTTCTTCTTCACTGTTTGTATCACTGTTTTTTTCTGTCTACGTTGTTCTATTGTATCACTGTTTCTATTGTATGTTCTTTCACTTTTTTCTTATTTTTTTATTTTCATTAAAGTTAGAGAATCAGCAGGAGAGAAAACCATGCTGTAAGCATGGTCCACCCTGCCGTAGCCAACCGCAAATCGATTCCGAATTCCATTTATGTGCTTGATTTTTTTTTGTTTTTTTTCTGGGTTAAGTTCGCCGGTAGTTTTGCATTCGTTAGAAGCAGTGTAGTATTGTTCACGTCACGTTCACATTTGGTAATTTTTTTAATCAGAGTCGGAGTCGATAAAAGGAAATTCAGAGGCGGTCCGACCATCCGATGTGGTTGGCTGTTGATCATCAATAGTCAGTATATCGGGATCACTTCGAACTGGTGAATCAAGAGTCGGCATATCGAGATCACTTCGAAGTGGTAAATCATCAAGAGTCGGCATATCGAGATCACTTCGAACTGGTGCATCGGAAGAGGGCCAAGGCGGCAATGCTAAAAAAAAACAAAAAAATATATTATTTTGGTGAACAAATTGATTTTTTGATTGTAAATATCAAGAATGCATATCAATGGTTCGCGCTGAAAAGAAAATAAATGTTATTAAATGTATATACTATAAATAAAAATAGAAATAATGATGATTGTCATCTTCTCTTCCTTGGTCTTCCTTCCGTCTTTGCTCCCTTGTGAACTGCTTCTGAAAGAACAAAAAAAATAATTAGTATAATTCCGGGAAAAAATATACTTACAACGGCTACCATTCACTACTCTAAGAATTAAATGATTTATCCTAAACGATTTAAATTCGCAAATCTACCCGAAATACACTTGTCACAACACTATATTTAACACTCACTGAAGAGAAGTCCGTTCGAAAACAAACAGATCGAAATCCGTTTGAATGCACGTCCGTATCTCTAAATATCAATTTGATTCGCGAAACTAACACATTTTACACACTAGTCACTAACCGTACCCCAACACTGCTGATAAGTAAGTGACTTTTCTCCTCCGTTTTTGTCCGTCCGTCCGTCCGTCCGTTTGTCCGAATCAAACGGACATTTAGCAAACGGACAAACGGACGGACGGACAAATCCCAATCATAAACGGACAAGTCCTAGGGGTTTCATTCAAGGCTTGGGAAATGTGAATATTTGTGAATATTGTGGATATTTTTCTCATTGAATCATTGTCAAAATTTCGATTATATGTGAATGTTGTAAATTTTGTGAATAGTTTGAATGTAATAGCCTGAACTGTCAAATGAGAAAGACTGAATATCTGTGAATATGAGTGGATATTCTGAATATAGCTCAAAACACACCGGAATTCATGAATTTTTGAATGATAAATTCCCCTAGGACAAGTCACTCGGACAAACGGACAAGTCACTCGGACAAACGGACGGACAAACGGACGGACGGACCAAATACAATCATAAACGGACAAACCAATGTACATGAGCCTGGATGAAATTCAATCGAAAATCGATTCCTCGTCAAAAATTTAATGGAGAAAGTATAGTCGCAATCTAATTTTCGAAAATTTATTATTACATAAAATGTAGAGCTGTTGTATTCATACCATCGCAGCAGGTACACTCCGTGAATGATTACAACAACAAAATACACACGTTTCGTTTGAGTTCGGTACATTGTGGAATGAAAATGTATGGAAAATCTAGATGGCGCCATCAGTAGCGGATCTGATGCTCTGCAACTTTGGTTGTATTTGTTTTTTAATTTTCTCTTCAGCTATCATAACTCCCAAATGCTTTGGCCAGTCGGTGTAAGTCTATGGTCTCTCGGGATCAATGGATTTTGGACCAAATGTAATTTTAATGTAAACATGACAACAATTCATATGCGTGTGCTGTCAAAGTCACTTTGTCATGCGTCATTCACATTTCACATTAATGCTTTGACTGATTGTGGTGAACAGTGGTGAGATTGGAAACGCCATACATTTTATATACATTATTTGTTTGG